GGCATCTTGTGCTTACTTCCTTGCGTACGGATGACAGCTGCGTATGACTTAATTTATCTTCTGTTGCTTTCACTTCCTGACAGTTGTGATAACTGTGTAACTGCCTCGAGGGTGCTTGACCATTTTACCACAACGTGGTGCGATCATCTCCCTTGCGCGGAGTGAGGGTTCTCGACCCCGCACAACATGATCTACTCGACCACCGTTATGGTTACCGCCAAAAAACAAAAGGGAGGTAAAAAAAAAACACGGTAACCTGGTTGCCGACTTCACGAAGTGAATGGGGGGGGGGGGGGGGGGGGACTGAATACCACCCTCCCACAGTCCAAATTTTGTGTCCGTGGTACGTGTCGTGTCGCACCCGCAAGTAAGGACCATATCACACTGACTGCTGCGGGGGTGGAGCCAGGACGACAAAGCCGATGAGCCTTGTTGAAGCAGCCGTCACAGTATCGCACTAGAGTGCGACAGTTGTCCTTCGACCAATTCTCCTGGGTTAACACCGGAAACTCCTGCGCACAACAATGAAGGCTTTTTTGGATTGATTCCGAAAACGCTACTCATGGCACCGGCATCCGCCCTTTCGACAGACGTACACATTACGACGCATCCGTCGACAGCCTAAATGGTGGAAAGCATTTTGATTTTGCTCACCCTCTTCATCATTTGGGGCCCTGCCGCCAGCAGAAACCCTCCCCTCGCGCGGATCGTGTCAAGGTCGGTTCCCCAGCGGTTCGCGCACGCTGCGAGCAACCGGCAGACGTTGGCGATGCGTTTATTAAAAAAAAGTCCAGGAGTAGCATTTTCTTGGTTGAACCAAATGGGGTGTCAACGGTGAACCGTCGGAATCACAGGACAATCAACTCTGTACTCGGTAAAAGCAAATTTTCATGGTACTCCACACCGGCAATAAAAACGATTGCTCGCAGGGTAGTCCACCAGCCAATGCGCCGGACAGGCAGGCGCGCGGGTACCCACGGGAGGGCTGCTGAGGCGTATCCGCGTTTGGTTTGCCCCAGTGATGGTGTGTGCTGATGTTTTACCAGTACGTGTCAAGGGCAAGCGATTCACACGTACCGGCAGGCAGCAGCACCAACGACCGCTCGAGCGACCGAAACGCCTACACGCCTCAGCGCCGTGCCGTGGGTGTATGTGCCTGTCCGACCTTTTCCCCGCGAGGAGAGGGTCACAACGTGAGCAGGACTGCGAATGACCGTGCCAGAGAGAGAGGCAGGGTTGACATTACTAGAGGAGCAATATGTTCCTGCTAACTGAGGCCTGACGCTCCCACCACCTAGAGAACGAGCCATCACCCTGTGTCCATGCTGGTTTCAGCAGACATGCTCGCACGACAAGAGTATCGTATGTTGGGGAGGCGGCAGTGCTGGACACCGTTTCTTAGCTTTTCGGTACATAGCTGACTACCACTGAGCACTCAGCTTGCATGTCCCTCCTTTCCGCGCCTCACGCAACGAGATCTACACGTGCTGCGTCTGCTGCCGCTAGCTTCGGAGCCAGGATCGTTCACGGGAAGATGTTCGGTGGGAGCCAGTAGCACTTGCCGGGATCCATATCTATCTTGTCTCTACTTTCTCCCGAAAAATGTATACGTCGAAGTATGAAAAGTGCATATACTGTAGCGGTCTCCGGCGCGCGATGTTGACCACTCTTGTATTGGTCACAATGCTGTCTCAAGCGCAGGGATGTTGCGAAGGAGCTACAGATTACCCGCAGTGTTGCTGCCTGTACGCGTTTTGTCAGAGTAGGAGCAGCATGCTAGATACTTTTCGCCATGTAACCTCCAAGATCCCGGTATGAGTTTTTCTATACATATACCGCAGTCAACAAGCACATCACCGAAAAATAGGTATGTAAGTGTGTGTTTACATGTCTCCCCTGGCTCTTTGACGACTTCTCGGCGGAGCATCGCGATCAACATGCGGCCAGTAAAGTATTTGTGGACTGATAAAAATCTCATCGAGTTGCTTCCTTGTACAGCTTATCAGGGGGGACGTGCGGCGGCTAGTACGGCGACGGGTGGTTGCAAGTCACGATCTCAATGGGAAAATAACGGTGTTACTTGATGGGGGTTATTTTCCACACGCACGGTATAGACGAGCTGAAATCACCCCATCTGCGCTGCATTAACAACACAAAAATTCCTCATGCACAAGAAAGCGACGGAGGTACTGCAGCATGCGTTGTCGGCCGAGTTGCGAAGGCCTTCCCCACTTCCCTCGCATCGGCGTGAGCATTCAGATTATCCGTAGAGAAGTTGGATGGAAAACTGTCCTGTTTGTGTTTTCTGTGTTGTTCCGTGTTGTCAGACCGTTGATTGCCAACTAGAAGATGTTTGCGGGTGCATTCCAAGTACATACAAGGGATACCGGTAAAAAAATATTCCGAAGAACAGACGTCAGAGGCCCTACGTGGGACGCCGAACAACCTTCATCTTTCTGCATCAATATGCATATGTTGGCATTTCTGCGAGTCGAAAACATTGAATGCATGGCAATGGTGGTGGGCGGGGAGCTCGACTGTCTGTGCCTGATACCTTCGAAGTATCCACGATTGTCTCCATCGAACGAAGCGTCAGTGACGAGGCCGCCGACTACGCCCCTCTGTAGGGAGAAGAGCTTTGAGGTGGTCATGCGTTGGTAGAAGCAGTAGCCACCCAAGAGCCCGAGAGACCTAATTCCATCGGTAAAACAAAGGCAGCCGCCGATTTGGTGCAAATGAAAAGGAGAAATAAACTATCACGACCCCAGGAACTTGTTCCATGGAACCTCGGGAAAGAGCAAGGGAGCCATCCTTCAAACAGGACCGTTCAACCCTAATAGTTGAAACCGAGGAAAAACAACGTCCGCCCGCCCCCCTAATCAAAGAATGAATATACATTTGAGGTATCATGGAGAGGAGTGAAGAAGAGGCTGGGGTTAAGGCCGAATCGTAAGTTGCGCCGACATGTACGCAAAAAAAAGAACTTGGACGGTCCGAATTGGTGCAAAGTTGATCTGCATAATGTCGAGCAACAACGTGCTTTGGGCTTTTCATGAGCCTGCTCCTGTGATGTTCAAAAGCCAATAAAAAGCGGACAACGGCAAGCGTAGTCGAGACGGACGGATACCCATTCACCGCAACACCAACATACGGCGCCTGCTCCAGCGTTTACCCACCAACACCCCCAAGCACCGATGTCGTCTACCGAACTCGCTCAACCAAAGACCCTGCAAAATTCAGTTCCGACTCGCACCCTCCCGCCCCCCCCCGACCGGCTACACTCGAGTAGAGATCATCCTAGCCCCACAACCAATCTACAGACACCGTCTTACATGCCGCTGCCGACGACCTTAGGGAGAACCGCGGGCCGTCCTTCGTCCACACCCACGGGTATGATCAGCTTCTCGTCCCAGGGCAGCCACTGTTGTTTGTGAGAAACATGTTGATGTTGAAGGTACATACAAGTAGATATTGTTCCTGTTGTTGCTGTTGCTGTTGTTGCTGTTGCAGTTTTTTTGCCGGACTCAAGACTCTGCAACGGCCACGACTAAGGTTCCTACCGATGTTGAGGCTACGACGGCGGGTAAAAACGTACTTCTCGTTTCCGTTCCTGCCCTCTCCCCAGGAGGCCCAAAAAAAAGGTCAGCGGTAACTCACACGAGGTTTCCGGAAGTGGTTCGCAATAATCGATTTCCGATTGATCGGAGATCCGTTGAAACTATCGTGCAACGACGGCTGACACATAGTAGTATGACGAGGACCAGCGTTCCGCTGCAACAGCAGCAGAGAGCACGTTGTGAAAGAGGGAGTATTTCGACTAGCCCTTAAATAATCCGACCGTCGAAAGGCGACCCCTTCAATAATCGTGTCAACACCTTGCCTGCGTTCTGAACTGATCATGAATCGTCCAAAGGGAGGACACCAAACACGAATCCTGTGCATCGATGTGCCCACGCCTGTTTTTCCCCAACTCCATGACACGTAAACCCTCTCCGCCGTCGCGCAAGACCTGAACTTCGGGCTCGTACGTGGGCTAACTTCGTCGAAACCTACGACGTACCTTGTACCTTGCACACGGCAGGTAGGGGTGTGGATGGGGGGGAAAGTAGATTTTCTTCGACCTTGGCCGAGTACGCCGGAAAGGCTCGCAGACAGGCGGCAACAACAGATCGACATGACAACTGGCAGACAACAAGCTCGGAATCGTGCAGTGCGCCTAGCCTATAGGTTTCACGGAGAAGGGATGCCAAATAGGGACATCCGCCTCTGCTACTATTGCTTGCCTGGCCGTTGTGGAAGCGATACAGCAGTCTGAGGTGGGTCGGGAGAGGCCAGCCTAGCGCCTCTTCCGCGGTGTCGAGCTCCTCCTCAGATACACCTACGCGTACATTCAGCGAAACCCGCGGAATTCGACACAGAAAAGGGGAGAACTCAGCACCGCAACCGGTGCCAATTCGTACCACATCGGCAGGTGGGAGAAAGTTCAATCTCGCTGGATAGCAGATGGAGTGGGTAATAGGCAAATTCCACAAAGAATTTTCAACATGACGGTATCTCATACACTCGACGACCACATCGACGACAGCAGCATCAAACATAGCAGGACAAAAACGGCAAAAACAACCCACCGGCATTCAGGGTCCCTACAACCTCAGGGAGATTCCGGGACATCCATGCCTCCACTCCTGCCCACCACACGGCCACTCGTTTCACGTCAGCAGCTGGAGGCAAAAAAAGCGAGAGCGATCGAGAAGGCAGCCCGGTATACGACTGTGAGTACAAACCGAGGGGAAACTGCTGGAACAAGCGACACAAAATCGATTAGGGAAGATGAAAACACCTCCGAGTAACAAAGGGTAGAAAACATCACCAACCGCGTTACGACAACACCAGGAGAAGCTGTCAGCGGAAGAAACGGATCAGACGTAGGGCCAGATCTATGAAAGAAAAACAAAACGATCACCCCTTACAGAATCATCGAGGGCGACGAAAACTCACCGCCAGCGCGACTAACTCAAAAAACATACGCGCAACAATTTTACTTGAGGGACGGGAATAGCGTACAACACCGTGGTCCAATACTCACGGTGGTAACTGTTGAACGCTCTGCGCCAAGCACGCCAAGACTCCAGGAAGGTGGATACCAGCTCAGATCTCTGCTCTGGGCGCACGCGGCGCTCTTCGCCCCAGTCCTCAAGGCACTTGCTGCGCCAGAGATCGTCTGTTAGCAAGCAAGTTGGGCAGGTTGAGTTTGAATGGAGGACGAAGACTTCGTCGTCAGAGCTAAGAAAAACCTCGAATGTGAAGGCACAACAAATGTTTTTCGGAACTAGACGAGCACATATGTCGCCAAATGCGGGTATCGACAAATCGGGTCGTACGCCGGCTATTGGGCAAGGATATATCCCCGATATTCCGGTAGTTCTTGTAGTTGTTCAGACAGATGCCAGGTGGCCGATTCAAACCAATCCACAAGCTACGCGGAGGCTGCTGGGGTAGACTTCGCGAACGAAATTAGCCAAGTATCTGCGTGCCTGATATTTCGCAAAAAATGGTTGTATTGTGCCCTCGAAGGCGCCAGAGCGTGGCGCCACAGGCTTGTGAGAAAAAACACACCGACACAAGATCATGTACATGCTCCTTAAGCACACAGAAATGAGTCCATCCACTGATATTGATGGGGTCGCAAACGGTTGCGCGTCGTCGTTGGCTCAGACGACGCTGTGGAAAACGCAAGACGTAGCACACGCAGTGTTGTTTCGAGTTGATACCATACACTACGGCTGCGGAACCCATCGTCACCACACAAAGCACAGATGCAGAGCAAAGGCATCATTGAGATCGATGCTTGACAACAGCAGTAGGGTTTCTCACCGCTCTGAGCTGCAGAACCGACGGCACGACAGGTGGCCTGGCAAGCAACGAGACTGTCCGAATCCAGGTAGCCGAGGGCCAGATCCAGGACCGCATCGCTTAGGCACAACAAGCTCGCGGGAGTTGTCGCAGGAGCCGTTGCGAGAACGGTACTTGCGGTGGTGGGAACGCCTCCTGTTACATTCAACACAAGGCGGGTGTCAACAGCGGGAGAAAGGACAAACTCAACCCCAAGTCCTCCTCCTGGCAATCGTCGACGAACGCCGAATGATATTGCATGCACCCTGCGCCCAAGTGGAAGTGTGACAAAGACCACAGCTTCAGCTGTGTTGCCACCCACGGACCGAGAGGCGGTAGTGAACAAATCACCGCTGGCTCTGGACACCTCGAGGCCAAGAAATGTCTTCAAGGACTAGGACAGGAGCATGAGGAGTTGCAAGCGCGTGTAAGCTGTATATTGTAGTACTCCCGTCAGACAACATGCTGTTTGCACCTCGACAGTGGACACGACATTCCTTTGTCTACAAAGCATGTAGACGTTTGAGTACAGAAGCACCAACCGATCCGTACTTGAACAACGCGCACTTGGCTGTACTTTTCATATGCAAGGCGCATCGAGGTCACTGATTGGATTAAGCTACAGCAGTGTTACGCCGTCGGATTGTCGATCTTCGAAATTGTAAAATCAAAAGCGAGCACCACCAGACTCGACAACGAAAATCGAAAATGCCTAGATGAGTGAGAGAGCGGTCATCGCCGTGAAACTCTTCTTTTGTCGACGAAATTCAACGGTAGCTGTTTCGGCTTTCCTGCATCAGCACGCAGGATTCAATCACACATTGCACATTGCTCGCTGAGTTCGCAGCGTATCGATGCGAGACAAAGACCCTCCAACCCGCCTGATCATGGCCGGCCGTTGTCCGGAGCTTACAGCAGTACATCATCGTTCGCTGCCTTCGATGCCGTGTACTTGAAGCCCTCATGGTCATGGTCTGAATCATTGCAACGGGCATGTATGGGCGTTGTTCGCCTCTTCGGCGTTGATTTTCGATTTCGACTCCCCGCCTGCAATGTGTACAAAGTAGAGCCAAGCCGAAATCAACATAAATATCCAACAAGTTCGGTTTCGACTTCGGATGGAACATTTCCTCGACAAGGGCCACCCTCACCGGGGCAGGGAGACGCAAACAAGAAAAACGAACGCAAATCACGCCGCACTGAACAACTGCTGTACACTGGTTGAACAGCGCTTGACATGCAGTGCAATAGTACACAACGCAGTGCTCCGAGTAGTGTGGCCGTATCTGCAGTACGGTTTGGATAGCTGCAGCGAGCTCCACCTATTACCCTCACGCTGCTCCATCTGGGAGCAACCCTGGATGTTAATGTTTTGATCCTCGGCGGGTACCACAGCGTCAACGGACTGCTGCGTGCAATTTGCTGTGCATATTCAAGAGGGATGCTTCTGCCCACGCTTCGGCCCACAGTAAACGCCACGCAGCGAAAGCCTAACGATTGCTCGAGCAGGAAGATCCAGCCTCCTGGCCGATACGGCCTATTTGGGTAGTCAGTATCGGATACCTGATTCATCCGGCCCGACCGAGTTCGCCAGCAAATCATCATGTTCAGCGGTTGCTGCTCCTGCTGTTGCCGTGGCGTTGGTCGACATAATCAACGATAACTGTGCGACAATTTACAAAATGCGTCTCCTGCTTGTCTCTGAAGGCCACGTGCTTGGTAGAAAGGCGGGATCGTCTACACGCGTGATCTGACAGCTGAATATATTGTGGTTCAGTCGTGCGTGGAGCACAGCATGTGGCATGTCAGCTGCTCCGTACAATCATCGTATGGACCCCGTCCACACCCACGGAATACTCCGTTCCGCGAAGCCCCGCCACCCTGTTGTCTGTGTCGTGCAGTTGTTTGAGGCCAATTGTTATGGGAGAAGTTGGAACTTTGTCTGCCCCCCACAACCGCTGATTGTACCACACCGGCTTGTTCATACTGAAACCACGAGAGAACCCCACAAGGCCCATCAACATTAGTATTGCCATTTGGGGAAACACCCGGGCCACCAAAGAAAAAAACCATTTCTCGTCTCTCGCTACTCTCTGTTCCCCTGACCTTCCCATCGCACTGCAGAAAAACACGCATGTACCCGGACACCAGGACACCCACATATAAGCCATATTATATCTATGCGTATCCACCAATCAATCAGACTCGTCACGCACGTAACGGGGAAGCGCGTAGCACCAACATAGCCACACACAGCAGCCAGGAGTGCACTCCCCCAACCATGCAACGGTCCGATACACCCAACAACATGCGTCCTGCATATACTATACCACCTGAAGTGCGATGTACACCAATCCCACTCAAAATAAATGGGACGAGCACCTCGGAACTGCGCCCAGCATAGGCACACGCAACCCCGACTGCGGCTACACAGTGAGTCCCCCCCGACGGACACTCACACTGGACACAACGCCGCTGCTCCTATTTCCGTGTCCACTGACACCCCCAAAAGTAAGGGTGGGTGGGTGGGAAAAAGAAACGTCACAGCAGAAAACAACCCTTGGCCACCACACGCACACGTGCTCTCGCTCGCCCCCGGTAAACACGGCGAAGCGAGTAGACTGAAAACAGAACACCAACACGCTCGTCCGCTTCCTGCTTTCTGATTGGCCAAGGTTTATTTCTGCCGCTTCTCACAAAACGCAGATTTCCTTTACTTCGTCAGACAATCTTTCGCGTTTCTCGATGCTTTCGAAATTTGTCATTATTATTTTGCGTACCCCCTTTGCTCGCCAAGGGGGAGGGGAAAAGAGCGGAGACCAGGCAGGGCAACACCACACACGCCCCCGGTCTACTCCTTACGATCAGTATAAACATCAGCCACCCAACAGACAGAGACATGTAAACTCTGTCTGCCCCCAAACCTAAGGCTGGTGCGCCATACTGATCCCCCCCCCGCCCCCCTTTTATTTTGGCAAACCATGCACAACATATACCACATACAATATGTGCAAAACATACGATATGTACAACGTCCAATATATGCGGCATACAATATGTACAGCAAAATACCATCGGTACAACAAGGATCTCGACATACACAACGTGCCACGGAACCCCTTCACACGTCACCCCATCGGGTACCTTGCCCTGGCTGTGTAGTCACCTTCTCCTTGTTCGCCAACACCTCTGACACCCACGAAGCGTCACCCCCAACATTCCGAACGTAACACTGGTGACTACTCTCCCCCGACCAACGCCCTTCTCTTCGGAGAACCTCCGGCGAAGCCCCCCCCGCCGCCAAGAAAGTTGCGCCCCCAATTCTCAGGGAGTGCAGCGCGTACTCCTCGGGCTGCAAACCCGCCAACGCAACCACTTGGCGAAGAGCCACAGTAGCTTGACACTTAGTCCACATGGCCCACTGGCCCTGACCAACACCGAAAGCCACGAGAGGCGCATGCGAAGGCAAAAAGGTATACAGAGAAAGCAGCTCCACCATGACATCCACTGCACCACCCCCTCGGTCAACCCCACAGCACGGACCTTGCCGTGTGCGCGTGCAAACCGCCCCCTTCCGAAACTGGTCCCCTTTCGACGAACGAAAACGTACCTCCACGCGATCGGCCAATGGCCACTGCGCCGACTGCAACAGCTGGACCGACCCCCGAAAAAACGCTACGTCCCCCCGACGCAATCCATGAACCTCATGCATAGACAATTTCGACACCGCAAACATCTCGGATGCTCGCGTCAGGAAGAAGAGAGAAGCACTCAGCGCAAGAAACAAAACGCGCCCGCCTACCCCCCATTGCGATACCAGCGAACTCCCCCGTTGCAACATCGCCCAAGACACCGGCCGTCGCAACCGCTGCTGTGTGCCCACGTCGGCATGCCCCCGCGCCGCCCCACGTAAAGCACAACGCACCAGCGGATGCTGCGTATCAAGCTCCCCTTCACCCGACACACGATGGAAGAACTTAATAGCGGACAAATGACTGGCGATCGTCGATTGTTGTAGACCCAAAACGGAAAAACAATACGCGACGTACTCAAGCAATTGAGCAACGACATCACCCGTAACAACCTCGGCAGCAATAAAAACCGGCCGATGCACCACGATCACACGGTATTTCACCCAGCCTCCAAAAAGGCCCAGGTAAGTTCGTTCAGACGTTCGCGCAAGTGACTGGCGGACGAGGCTGGCCCCAGTACGGCAGAGCACATCTCTTGCCCGGCTCGATTCAACTCCACTTCCTGCCATCGTACATGGGGGGCAGCGGCACAAAGGTTGTCGTACACATCAGCGGCGGGCCAGCGAGAAATACCATCAGCAAGCGAATTGAGCACACCAGGCACATGGGACGATTGGAAAAGCCACCCGCTAGACACTTCAATCGCCCCCAGCATCCGCATGAGCGCGCCTGACCGCGGCTCCTTGCCTCCGCGACACCGCTCAATCCATACCACACTCGCTTCATTGTCTCCCCGCAACTGGATGCAGTCACCAGCCGACACCGGCACATGACGCTGTTGCACANATCACGCCGGAAATAACACCCAGTTTGCACACAGTATGTATGCTCCAAACGCCGTTTTGGAAGCATCGGCAAACACAGCCGTTACCGGAGGACGAAGCACCACATTGTACATCGGGGCACACAACTGGCCGCCACGCGACGCCAGACCTCGCTGCACAAACCAGCGCCAAAAATCCAAATAATCGTGAAACATGGCCTCAACACGACACGCCGATTGGGGTTAGAAACACGCGGAAGGAAACACCTCGGACTGCGGCATGCCGACGTCGGCCAACAGACAGC